ATTATTATTATTATTATTATTATTATTATTATTATTATTATTATTATTATTATTATTATTATTATTATTATTTTACTTGTTTTATAACTTACTACCTCGATACCCATGCTTCGCGAATGAAACTATGTGGTCGGGCTTAATTTTTGGAGAGTAAAATCGGGGGTGGGAGTGGAAATCTGCTTCTGCCTACCAGCATCCATCGGTATTCATCTGGCTAACGTCCTGTCAGTGTGCGAGAGAGTTGAGGGCTGTTTGGAAACTGAAACGGTATTTGCTGTGTGAGCAAGAAGGAGACAGCAAGGAGCCTGGGCGTGGCTTACCTCAACCGTTCTGTACTGAAGCTGCTTGGTGCTCTGAAACAGAAACTCCTCTGCTTGTGTTTTGCATTTGGAGCAGATTTCTTTCCAGGTGGGGTGAGGGGAGTAGAACTCCTTAGCATCAGAGCGTGTTAATAATAATAATATAGGAAATATTAAGGCTCTGGTGGTCATTTGGAAAAATCCTTTCTTAGTCGAGCCCCTAGAAGCCAAGAGGAACATACAAGCCAAACTTCAAGTTTGTAGGTTTTACGGTTCTGGAGATTTTGTGATGATGCATGAAGGGTATTTTGCTTTTATATATATAGATAAGTCATCCAGAGTGCCCTTATCTGGGTGGCATAAAATTGTAATAGGCAAGTAAATAATAAATGAAATAAACCTGGGAGCTGTTTGCATTTTCTTCTCTGCCTTGCCTTCAGCCCTGAATATAGAGACAAAACTACCGTCCTTCTCCAGACCTTTATAGATGTAATTTCCACGTAAACAGGACCAAACTTGATTTGGCAAGGGAAGGGATCTCCCGAAATCCACTGATCCATCAGGGATCCTACTAACAGTCTCTTAGCATTTAGCACTTCAGCCATGACACCGGGCAATCCTAGAGCCAGAATTAGTTCAACCTTCAACCTCCTGAAAATATTCGTTTCAAAAAGTTGTGGTGTTCTCTGAGCTTGGTGGTTTCCTGGCAGACGTTTCATGACCTAAGTAGGTAACATCACCAGGCTAGATGGGGGTGGAGTTTGTGGAATGGAAGAGGGGAGGAGAAGGAGAACTGTGGGGGGGGGGTCCTTGGTGCTCTCTGAGCTTGGTGGTTTCCTGGCAGACGTTTCATGACCCAACTATGTAACATGACCATGCTCGAAGGGAGTGGGGTTTGCGCAGTGGAAGAGGAGGGAGGATAAAGACTGTGGAATCCATGGTGCTCTTTTTGCAGATGTTTCATGACCTAACTAGGGGAACATCATC